CCCCACTGGTGTTATTCAACACCACCTTTCTGGAAGTTCCGCGTCTTGTCAGCGCCAAGAATCCTCGACCGCAATGATCATGAATGGTTGAATTGAAGGTAGATCCTGCCCAATGATACAAATGGCTGTGGTACAAGGCATCCCGCGGGTCTTGCTTTCTAAAATCCCGTATCTGAAATTCCAGGCCTGTCCAAATCTGCCTGTGTGGGACATGGCAGGCGCCTTTTACCGCACTTATGGCCAGGCCAGCCCTGCTTCACGCTTATCTCAAATACTTCCATTATCATGTTGCTGTTCGCGAGCCAGGAGAACATGCCCTCGGGCCAGCTCGCAAACCCTTTCAGCGCCATGAGCCTCGATAGCCAGGCCTCGCAGGATGTGCTGCGGTCCAGGCCCGGGAACCGCGTCTCCCCTCCCGACTACGACGGAAACGAAGGCATGGCGACGTGCTCCCAGGCCGAGGCCCTCGGCACCCAGGACTACATCACTCCCGTGGATCAGTTCGGCACGGAAGCGGATGCCGCGCCGGGGGCCCGCGTGGCCCGATCGCCGGCCCAGCTGTCTCCGAATAGAATGAAACGTGCTCGAAGAGCCGGCACGGGTGCGAGCTGAGGGCGGGGCCTGCTTCATGCTGCCCGTGCTGCCCTCCCGACCCGGCCTCCTCAGTACCCCAATCTTCACCTCACACACCGCGCAGGGACCCCACCCCGGCAGCCCGGGCCGGGCGCGGGTCAGCGCCTGGTGCGGGTGCGCTCGCCGCCCTGCTACCGCTGCATCTTCCGCGACGCGGACGCTGAGGAGGGCATGTCTGCCTGGAGCTCCAAGAGGGACGCGGCCTCCTTCCCCACCTCCCGCATGCGGTGCGGCGCGGCGGGGCAGCAGCCGGGCACTTTGCTGGACAGAACCGTGTCAATCAAGCACCGCCCTGCCTGTCTGCCTGCTCACGTACCCCTGCCGATCGCACTGGCCTCTCCAGTCACCCCTACAGCCTTGCCTCTACTCATTGAGGACCCCCCCACCCCCACCCAACACCGCCCACCCCTCCCCCCACACTGATACAGCCTGGACTTCAAGGAGCTGGGCCTGCTGGGCCAGGGCAACTACAGCAAGGTGTTCCGCGTGCGCCACCGCCTGGACGGGCGCGAGTACGCGCTGAAGCGCAGCGCCCGCGAGACGCGCCCCGACTCCCCCGACTTCGCGCAGTACCTGCAGGAGGTGCAGGTGCTGGCGCACACGCCGCCCCACCCCGGCCTGGTGCGCTACCACGGCGCGTGGGTGGAGCCGGTGTCCCCCGCCGGCCTCCACACCTACCTGCTGCTGGAGCGCTGCGACGTGAGCCTGGGCACGCACCTGGCCCTCTCCGGCGAGCGCCCCGCGCCGGCCGAGCTGGCGCGCCTCGTCCGCGCGCTGGCCGGCGCGCTGGCCCACCTGCACGCGCACGGCGTGGCGCACCTGGACCTGAAGCCCGACAACGTGTACCTGCTGGAAGGGGGGGAGGGGCACGGGGCGGGAGGGCCCGCCCCCCCCCCGCCCGAGTACAAGCTGGGCGACTTTGGGCAGGCCGCGCGGCTGGACGGCGCCGGGCCCGCCGCCGTGACCGAGGGCGACGGGCGTTACATGGCCCCCGAGCTGATGAACGCCGACCACCGCGACCTCCCCGCCGCCGACATGTTTGCGCTGGGGGCCACCGCGCTGCAGCTGGCCAGCGGGGAGGACCTGCCGCGGGGGGGGGCGGCCTACGCCGCGCTGCGCGCCGGGAAGCTGCCCCTGCTGCCGGCCTTGCCCGTCGGCCTGGCGCGCCTCATCAAGTGGGTGGGGGTGTCTCGTCAGCTTCCTTGTGGACATGTGGTGGAGTGCTTGTCCCCGGAGCAGGGAGGGGGGGATGTGAGAGGGTTTGTACGGGTGAGGTTTCCCCCCGTTGCGCCTGCTGGTGATCCAGAAAGGTACCAAGTTGGACGCCCGGCTGTGCCAGGGGCGTGAGCCATCCCCGCGCTCCCGGCATCCTCCCCCCCTTCTCCGTCCGATGCATCATCCTCCCACCCCTCCTTCCCCTCCCACCCTCCCCACCCAGGGCGCTGATGAGCCCCAACCCGGCGGACCGGCCCACCGCGGCCAAGGTCCTCGCCATGCCCTGCCTGCAGGGCGAGGAGCGGGAGGGCACACCCACGCCCCCGCCCGCGCCGGCCGCCGGCGGCCGGCAGCAGGCGCCGGGCAGCGGGTCGTCGGCGGGGGGCCGGGGCGGCGCGCCGCAGTACAGCGGACTGGTCCTGCAGCGCAGCGCGCACTGAAGGGGGCCATGGTCCGCGGCTCGTGCCACTGTTTTCCTGGGCCCTTGACCGATGTGCCGCCAGGCATGTGTATATGCAGGACGCGAGGCGTCGAGGTGTCGACCTCTGCGCTCGGCAGGGGAGCTGAGCTCGGCAGGGAGCCGATCTAGTGACCGCTGCCTTGCCACCACCTCCCACGAGGCCTCAGCATGCGAGGAGCACGCATGGAGCGTGCAGCAGCCTCGTGCTGTCGTGCAACGCAAAATCGGACATGCTTGCTCCGTGCATAGCCTCGTCAAATCACCACCACCTTCACGCCTGAAACCAGCCAACAGCTTGGGTCGCAGTCCCAAAGTCGTGTACTCTAGGCGACCAAGCTCACGGGGCAGGGGCAGCGACCCTGGTCAGGCCTGCCCGGCTCGCTCTCGTGTCCCCGGGGCCCCCGGGGGCGGGAGGGGAAGGCGCAGGACCAGCGCGTCCCTGCCGTCGGCGTAGTACCCGCGCCGCCGGCCCACCTCCACCGCACCCTGGGCGGCGTAGAAGGCGCGCGCGCCGCGGTTGCCTGCCGCCACCTCCAGCACCGCGCGCCGGCGGCGGGGGTGCCGGTCGGCCAGGGCGCGCAGGAGCGCCGTGGCGACGCCCCTCCGCCGCGCCGCAGCGTGCACGCTGAGCATCATCAGGTCCAGCTGCCCCTCCGCCGCGATGTCCCAGGCGCACACCCAGCCCAGGACGGGCGTCGGTGGGTGGGTGGGTGCGGGGGCGGCAGGCACAGCCACGAGCAGGGTGGCCAGAGGCTGCACCGTCTCGGCCTGCAGCCACACGAAGGGGGAGGGCTGGGGGGGGTTGAGGAGGGGGGGAGGCAGGAGGGGTGGCGGCACAGGAGAGCAGGAAGTAAAATGAGGCTGAATAACTGGGGTTTCAGCGGTCCGAGACAGAGGGGGGAGTACTGCGGCATGAGATTTACATGGACATCCAAGCGGGGCTCACACAGTGGGTTGAGGAACTCCCCTCCCCCACCCGCTCACGTAGATGGAGTCGGCCGTCCAAGTCGCGCCGCCGCCATCCATGGCAGCCATGGCGCCCACATCCTGACGCCCGGCGCGCCGGATCACAAACTCCAAGGGCGGGGCCTTGCGCGAGGAAAGAGGAAGGAGGAGCCAGTGAGGGGGCTGTGGGATTGAGGTGACGTCGTCTGCAGCACAGTGTTGCAACTGCCATACGCCTGCATGCCTGGGCCTGACTCCCTTGTAATGGACGAAGGTAAGCATCATGCGGCACCTTTATGAGCCTCGTCCTCACCTCTGCAGATGCACAGACGGCATGGCATACCACACGCCTTGCCCGATGATGTACGGGGAGATGAACATTCAAACGACTGGCATTTGCCTGAAAAGGGTGCAATCCCCGGCATGCGTGCATGGGGGGTGCGACGGTCCGGTAAGCCGTCGTCTGAGTCTTCTGCTAGGCGATCACAGCATGTCAGTCGAATTCAGAACACATGGGAGCCTTTTCATGGTCATGCGATGGCTCGGCAAAGACACTGAAACCCTGTTTCAGACTGGCCACGAATGTTTCCAAGCAGGCTGCGGGTTCGGAGATGGAATCCAGTCGGACGCACATGGCAAAGATTGTGCCACTTGGTACCCTCAGTGACACAGACCCTGAGTATGCATTCACTCCTGAGGTAATGTCCTCTTGTGCGCTCTATTCAATGCGATACAATGAGGAGCCGACATCGTTTTCACGGTGTTATTCCGACTGGCATGCAGCAACATAATCTGCAGGGCCCCTGGTCCACAGCGTGGCAACCGTGTCTGTCTCAAAGGTCTCTATGTCGACGATATAATACAATATGAAGTTTACACACTCAAACGACAACTGCAGCTCAAGCTCTCTGAACACTCAGTCATCGGAATTCTGCCAGTCAATGACAAACGGCGTGCAGATGATGCCCCGCGGGTATCGCACCAGGTCCCACCTACGCATGCGTTGTAGGAGAGGGCGTGTAAGGGTACAACCATAAGCACGTTGGGCCACAACACATGATAATGTGACATTAACCTCAGATGAGTAGGGTGTCCCAATTCACATTATGATCAGAGGCTGTGAGACAACCAGCAGCCCCCCACCATCTTCGGAATGGTATGTTTGATGTGGGCACCATGCGGCAATTGAGTCCCAAGGGTGCGGGAAGCAAATGCTTGACGTAGTGCCCGATCTGCGTGCAGAATGCAGGAATAGTGCAAGGCAGGCCCAAATACCTTGTTTCGACGCTCCTCTCCTCGAGATGGTCAAGCTGTGGCCCTTCAGCCGCTCTCACAACAATTTTATTTCAGTAACTTACCATCCTCGGCTGCATCGGCTCAGCCATAGACTGGCAAAGGACCGCCGGCCACCAGCATGCCCCGGCCGCTCATGGCATCCAATCCGACTGTTGAGCTTGCATGAACTTACAGTGTTCATATCACCAGTATCGGAATGCATTGGCATCAGTCCGGTGGCCATCGTGGCGCCTGCGCAGGAAATAGGTGTGTACCAGGCCCTGCAACAGCGCACATCGTGGTAGAAATCAGGACCGGGAAGTTTACACCACCGCGCGCGCCAGACCACATACGGGAGAATGTTCTTCATTGCAGCGTCAATCGATCGCGTGGACGTGCCTACACACGTTAATAACACCCTTTGTAATATAACAAGCACCATCGGTATCTTTTCCAACCTCAATGCGCGATCCTTGGTCTGCTCTGGGCCTATCGCGGGGTGCCTCTCGACAGCAGGTGACGTGCGGATCGTGCGCGCATGCTGTGGAACTGGGACGTTGAAATAAATCGATGGGAATGTCGTGCCTTTCATGACTGAATCGTACCACATTGGTTCACTCCAGATCAAGGAGGCGTACCGGGCCCTCGCCAAAAGACACCACCCCGACCTGTGCGAGGCCAGTGCTCGCAGCGAGGCCGAACGACAGTTCAAGCTGATAAATGAAGCGCGCACCCAGTTGCTGGCTTCTTCTAGCGGTGAGCTGTTACGCATTTGCGAGGACGCTGAGGAATACGTGAGCCAGCTCGCATGCGGTCTCTCCTGTGCCACATTCACACTGCAACCCTGCAACGGCATCCTTGACCCAATCCCCCCTCCTTGTCCTGGTGCAGGGTCATCCTCCACACGGCACTATGCCGGCTACCAGTCGGCGGCGCACGGATCTGCCAGGAGCAGCGAGGCCCAGTTTAGCAACGGCTTTGTGGCCGCCATCATCTCCATGCCCCTCATCCTGACGGGCATGTGGATGAGCCGGACGATGCCCGACACCCTGTCCTCCACCTGGCGCATGAACGGGCTGATGCAGTCCCCCGTGAACCCCTGGCTCCGGGAGGATCTCAAGCCCAGGACCCGGAGCCGGTGGTCTGGCGGCGGCAAGGAGGTCGAGGGCTGAGGGAGCGACGCTTGGCAGGCATCGCTCGGGCCGCAGACATGTGTACTCCCCCGCCCTGTACTTTTGTATCAAACGCTGACCTGTTTTCCTCCCTTTTTCAGCACTGACTCTCGTCATTGAGGTTGTATGTGAATGTTACCCTCCAGGTGCGGTCTGTCAGCGAGTCAGTCGGTCAATGGAGGAGCACTGAGGGGTGGGGGTCGGGTGGTATTCTCGGGGTGTGGAGCCGGACGGTGCTGGGGCTCTGGCCTGGGCGCAGGCTGCCGAGTGCTTGCTTTGGTAGGGGGAGGCGCCCTCTGGCTGCTGGGTCCACCAAAGCACATGCCTGACTGCCTCCGGGGGCTGATGCCAGGATGCACCAGGCTCTGGCAAAGGGTACGACCGCCCATGGCGATGGCAAGACGCAGCACGCACAGGGCTGCCCGTCCTGATTCTGCGCCCAGACTCAGGCTCGGCCCGCGACGAGCCTGGAGCTGGTGCGCAGACCGCGGCCGACGCGCTCGACGGCCGGCGCGGCCTTCCCGGTGCCCCCCGCTCTCTTCCCCGCGCCGGGCTTGCCCGCCGCAATCATGCCGCCGGTCTTCACGACCGCACCCAGCACATCGCTCCGCAGCGTGCTCTGCCGGCGCGCGCCGCGCCGCCGGCCGGTCGGGGCCTCCCCCGCCTCTTCACCGCTCGGGCGAGCTGGGGAGGGGCTGGCGCTCGCCTCCTCCTCACCCGGCGCCTGCGGACGCTGGGCGGCCCGGTCCTGCGCCGCCTCGCCAGACGCGCAGGGCGTGGCGGGGCCGGCGGGCGAGGCGGACCTGCGATCGCACCCCGCCGCCTCCCTTTCTAGCTCGGCGCGCGTGGCGTCGGCCAGCTCCTTGGGCATCAGGGGCAGGGCCGCGCTCCTCGCCTCCGGGGCCAGATTGTTGAGGACCAGGTAGTGCGCCACCGACACAAAGCCTGCAGGTGGGAGGGGGGGGAGGTTGTGCACGCGCAGTGCGCGAGCCACATGCCGCTCGACCAGAGGAGATCCCCCCTGCCGGCACAGGCCGCATAGAACACCTCTGCCGCCCCACCTTCGGCGACGGCACGGCGGTAGAGCGTGCCCGTCGGCGCCCAGCCCCGCCGCGAGCGGTGGAAGGAGCAGTTGCAGAGGTCGCGGCAGCCGGGGCACTTCCACTCGCTATCCTGCAGCGCCTCCTCCACGTTCTCGCCGTACCGCATGAAGAGGCAGTCGCCGCAGAACACCCCCTGCATGGTGGAAAGGGGGCAGAATGGTGTGGTGAGCGCGCCGTGCATGTGAAGCACGGGGCTGTGATGTGGTGCTGCATGGGAGTCACTACACACATTGTGGTGCCTGGGCAACACTAAATGGCAGCCAACGCAGCCGGCCTGCTCACGTGGAGGGACTGGCACTCTGAGCAATGGGTTCGCAGCCCCAGGGTCTTCTGGCGGCACTGGTGGCACGTCTGACCCGACACCTTGTCGTAGATGCGGTTGCCGCTCTTGTCGTACCCATCCTCGAACAGGGTCCTGGGACCAATGGTGGTGGGCGGAAGACTGGTTAGCGCAGCATGACAGGGTTTTATGCGGACAGGAGCAGGGCTGATGCTTCCTGCACACGCGCATGCACATCATGTCTCCGGTTCCTGGCAGCTGTTGCCAGGTGGGCCAACAAGGAGGCAGAGATGACCAAATGCCGCATCACTCACCACTCCTTGGTGTGGCTGCCCAGAGCGGAGAGGTGCTGGACGCCGTACACTTCCTCGCGGATGTTTTCTGGGACAGTGGGGTGAATGGGCTCGTGAAGACCGGCGGAAGGTGTGTTTAGCATGGAGGCACTGACTCGTCTCAGGTGCTTAGAAATGCAGCCAAAAGGAGATGATGCCGGTACAGCGTTGTTGTGAAGTCTAAGAACTGCCATAGGACACTGCCTGTCTAGAGCCTTGACCAAACACAATGAGGGTGGCACCTTTGAGCAGGCGCCGGTCGTGCTTGGTACGCTCCTCCTCGGCCAACCCTGCCCTTGCCAGGTCGCTCTCGTTGTACACCACTGCAGGGTTGCCCGCAACACGCGCCGACCTGCATGGGTGTGGGGATCAGTACTCGGGCTGGCGGGCCTGCAGCGCTGCGCCGGGTTGACATTCCAAGCTGGGGGCTTGCGATGCTCAATGCAAAGGCTTTTCCGTACAGAAGCACACACCATTTCGACTCACTTCGATTCCCAACCCCGTGTCAAGCCTGCATGCATCACCCACCCAGCTCACCTCCTGGAGGACTGTGGCCTCTCGCGGGGAGCAGCTTTGCAGCCAGCAGCGGGAGGGGCCCGAATGCGGCGAGGAGCTGTCAGCATCTGAACCTGGGATGTGGCCTGCAGATGAGGAAGCCGCAATGGGTAGGAGCTGAAGTGTGCGGTTTCGAGGTGTGGAACGCCATGGCTAGGCCGGTCTCGGCTAGCAGAGTACGGTGTCCGTTGGGCACCGCAGCATGGATCAATGACACCTGTGCAGACCACATGCCGCGCTCATCCCACCTCTTTGAGACCCAAGACGTCCATCCGGGCTTTGTTTGCTGCGATGCGAGCCTGGCGCTGGAGTTCATACTCGGAGAGCATTGCGCGCAAAAAGGGGCCGGGGGCCTGGAGAATGTGCAGGGGCTGTGACCTGAGCAGGACGTCTGGCGAGCCGATTGCGATATAATTATTCGATTGAGGACAAGTTGAAATTATGTAGCAGTGTTGAGACTTGCGCATGTTAAGACACTGTCACTGCGATCCGTCGCGAACCCCGGTGGGTGTTGGTAGATTTCAAATTTCGAAAGGAACACCCACGTGCTCCAGCAGGTCCCAGCATCCGTTGGGGCAAGAGTCCCGCTTCTCCAAGGCTCCTGTACAGCTGGTCCCGACCATGCTGCTGCGACTGAACACACGCAAACTCATCCGCGGTTCACGGTGAAGGGCGGCCACCCTGGACAGGTTGGCGAAACGGACGGGCATGCTGATGGGCGACGGATCGCCAGCCGTTCCCTCCTCGGGACACCCATCAACCGGCGTGCGCTTCCTGTGGCGCCGTGCTCTTCCGCCGCTTGCTTCCAGTGGGCGGCGAAGGGGTCTTGGCAGAGCCTGCCCTTCCACTCGCTGGCCGAGCAAGCGTGGACTGCACGGCAGCCGTGCGGAAGCTCCGCAACCTGCCCTCCTCGGCAAATGTGGCCGCCCGCAAGCGCTGCAGCGCCATCATCTTGGCCAGGTTGGCCGGGTGCATTAGTCTCCCCCCCGAGCTCGTGGCGGCCGCCTCGCGGATCCAGGCCAGCGTCCGCTGCGCCTTCTGGGTCCGCAGCCGCGGCAGGCTGTTCACCGTGCTCTGCACCTGACATGTCGAAGGGGGGGGGGGGGTCCGGTGACAGTCTCAGGGGACAAAAAGGGCAAGGAACAAGTGTATACTCAGTGACAGTTCGAGTATTGAAGGGTCCAAGCAGCCTCGACTGGCTGATGGATGGCAGGCGCTCTGCCTTGAGGCGGCCTGCAGGGTGCTCGCCCTGCAAGTCCCCTTGTCCTCGCTGCATCCCGTCACCTCCCTCCACTCACCTCCTCCCAGCTGTGGCAGCAGTACCCCTCTGGTGAGATGAACAGGGGGTACCCATACATGTCCAGCCTGAAGCTCCAGCCTGGGGCCTGGGCGAGGTCCGGCCAGCCCTGCAGGCCCGCGGCCGGGAAGTTTTGCAGGACGGGGCCCTGCATGGGCGGCGTCTGGCACTCTGCCTGCTCGGGGACGGTACTTTCGGCGGCGGCCGGCGGACCCGTCGCCGTGCTCTCCCGGGCCGCCGGAGGCTCGCCTGCCTCGACACGAGCGCCGCTCGCCGGGAACCCCTGGGTCACCCGAGGCGCGGCCCCGCGGGCGTGGCCCGGCATGCTTGAGGGCGCCGCCCCGGCCCCGCTGCTGCCGGACGGGCCTGAGCTGGGTGAGGCCCCCGTGTCCTGGGGCAGACCCAGGCTGCTGGGCGCCCTGCTCCTTCGTCCGGCCGGGGCAAGGGTGCTGGAGCGGGCTGGTTTGGCAGGCCTGGCAGCCGGCGTGCGCACAGGCCTGGGGCGTGTCTCCGCAATGAGGTCCTCCTCCTTGACGCTGTGTGGTGATTCCCGGCCCGATGGCTGCCGCTTGGGAGGGGGGTTGATCCTGGTGTCCTGGTAGGCCCTCGAGGTGAGGGAGTAGACCAGGCCACGGGGCATGGGCGTGACGAAGCTTCCCTCAGCCAGCCACCGGCGGGCCTCCTTGGCCTCTCGGTCGCCAACCGCACCGCTCAGGATTTCATCAAACGTCACAACTTGGTGTGTGGGTTGGGGCAGAGCACTGGCGAGCATGGTGGCCATGTTTGCGACCCGCTGCGTGGGGAGGTGTTACCCTGAACCCCCTCTCACCAGCTCCCGATGGCAAGCTCCAGGTTGAGTGGTGTCAACACAAAAATTTGAGATGTGCACCGCATCATGGCATCGATTAGGTGGAGGCGCAATTGACTTTTCAAGCGAGGTGCCGGCCACATTGCCATTCTCCGTCATGATCGGCACCACGGAGAATATTGGAATGGCCCCCATGGTGGTCCTGAGTCGGCTGACACCAAAACCACAGACGGTGGCATCCTCCTTACGAGAGCAGCCTCTAGCTCCTGTACTTTCCAGAGCAGGTGTACACACCGAGATACACCTTCCTGATGCAAGTACACATGACGCATGCGTCCCGTCTGCATCAGTCCCCCCGCAGAGCCAGCTGGATGGCCTGCCTCACTTTCTCCATCGCAGCCTGCCGCTCCGCATGGACCTCGAACAGGCGGGCACGCTGGGCCTCGCTCACCTCTCCCGGCGCAGCAGAATCAGCGGCGGCCATGGCTCGCTCCAGGTCCGCCTGGCCGGCGGCTGCCACGCTCAGCACATCCTGGGACTCGGCCACAAAGGCTGCCCGGTCCACCAGGCTCTCGGCAATGTAGTCGCTGGCGGACGCCTCGGCTGCCGGCGTGGGGGAGGGTGGGTGGTTTGAGGGTCAGGGAGGTCAGGTTCCCACACGGGACGTGCATCCTGGGAGCAGGGGGACCTCGATTGCATGCTCCCAGCACTTGGATTGGTTGACGACCAACAGCCGGCGCATCCCAATCAGCCATGGGGGCTGCACTGCAAACCAGGAGCAGTGGACAGCTGCAGAGCCTCCCACAGGCGACCCCCTGCTGTGCTTCCGAGCCAGCAGAGCCCGCATCGCCGCCCACCTTTGGCCAGGCGCCTCGCCAGGTCGATGAGATCCGACCCCGGCCCGGCCGTCGCCGAAAACGCAGCGGCCAGGCGGGCCGACGCCGCGGCCTCCCTTTCCTGGGGGCCCCTTCCGTCCGCGCCGGACTCGTCGGGGGTGAGCAAGCGCATCACGTCATCCAGGAGTCGCAGGGCGGGCGCGGAGTGCTGGCGGTGGAACTCGGCCTGCAGCCTGCATGAAGGAGCGGCCTGGCAGCGGTGAGGGTGGCCGGCAACTTTGCGCGGCACAGAATTCTGTGAGACGCCTGGACGTCACAGCAAGGAGCCCCAAGATGCCACAGGTTTGGAAGCTGTAGACCAAGGAAGCGGGCACAGCAGGCTGTCGGGTTTCCTCCAGGGACAAAACTTGCCTTTGATGCAAGATTGTGAGGCCCTCCAAAGCGCCATTCTCTTCTGGGCTGTCGCGTGCAAGCTCGATGCGCCGCTCCAGCATCTGCAACGAGGAGGAGAAGGCACGGTCGGGAATTTGCACAGAGCTGGGAACCCATCCAGACGGGAACACTATCGCATAGGTAAACGGGTTTGGAAGAATCCAATATAGTATTTTTTCTTGGCATGACCTGACTGGGATAAAACGCTGTCCCAATGGCCAGATATTCTTGCTGACCCTCAATGGACAACGTGATTTACACAACCCTGGACCCACATCCAATGTGCATCCAGAACCACCCGCGCAAATCGACTGACCTCCAGCATCTCCACATCGATCTCCGCAGAGTACTGCGAGATGACATCCTCCACCTTCTCCCCTGCACGAGCAATCTCCAGCAGAATGCTGCCACGCCTGCAGGAGATGGTGACGGAAGGATGATGAGAAGTGGCGGTTGCCAAGTGTTCAACGATAGATCTTCCAGCCAGTCAGGCTCCACAGGTAGCATCTTGATCAGTCCCTCGCTCACTCTATCACGAGCAGACAGAGATCTGGGCCTCAGCCCAGGCTTGCTCCAACGCCTGCTTCATAGCTGCACGCTCCCCGCCCTTGCCATGACCAGTCTCCACCCCCCCACACCGCACCTGACCTCCTCGGGGTCCACCTGGACGCCCTGTTTGCCGCGCTCCGCGTTCAGCCGGCGAGCATAGTCTGGGTCCAGCGTCTCGGGGTCATCGATGGACATGACGTCGTCCAGCACCTCTGGATCCAGGACCGTGGGCGGTGGCGTACCGGGTCCCCCTTCCTCCCCAGGCTGCTGCTTTGGTGGCGCCCGGCCCGTCCTGAAGCCAGTCCGGCGGGCCGCAGTGCCGCCCGCGGAGGAGGTTGACACCTGGTTCACTGCATCCTCCTCGTCGTCGCTGGCCTCCTCAACGTGCAGGCCTGGCCCCTCGGATGGGTCCGGTTGTCGCTGGGGGGGGGCATGACCAGGGAGGAGTGGGGTACGTCTGACATTAGGGTTGCCAGCAACACCCTGCAGGCTCTTTTTTCCACCACGACACGGCAGAGGCAGGTCACTTCACATACAGAAGATCGCTGGCATGTCTCGCAGCTCACCAGTGTGCTGGGATCAACGGGCCGAGGGGGGGCCCTCGGCCGGCTCTCCTGTCGCAGCCGTCTGGACCGCCGCTGACCCGGTGTGCCGGCCATGCACGCCACTGTTCTTCCCCGAGGGCCATGCATGCATACTGCTGTTCTAAAAGGATAACATATTCGTGCTCCAACGAATAAAGATGGGCCTGCATGGGCCATCGTGGAGGATTGCAGGCCGTGCGACGGGCTTCACCGATGGGACGCCGACCCAGTCCTTGCGCCAGGTATCGCCACGAGAAGTCCGAGGGGTTATGTTATACTGAGGAGCATGTACAAGTCCTGCCCACTCGGGCCGACGGTTCCTCTGGTCCAGAAGGTAACATGCTCCCACGCAGCGCGCGTGAATGAATGCGGGTTTGCATGCGCACTCCGGTACCCCAAACTTCTTACCGGTATCCTCTGAATCTGATATCAGCGTGCCCAGCATTCATTCTACAGCAGGTCATACTCTACAGCATTCCAAGGCAGGAGGGGTGGCGCCAGGAGTGGCAGACGGTGTCCTCAGACCCCTCACCAGCCTGCCTTCACCAGGATGATCTCGTCAGTCCAGCCCCCCAAGGTGCTCACCGCTACCGCGTCAGAGGCTGACTGCGGCCAGCAGCACCGACGCCGCGATGCTGCCGTACAGCAGGCCCCTGCTGCTGGCCGTCACGGCGGGGACCTCCAGCGGCGAGGTCTTGTCCACCTGGATGCCGTACTTGTACTCGTCCCAGTACAGGTGGCGCACGCCGCCGCCATAGTGGTACAGCAGGGGCCAGGCGATCAGCGCCTTGGCGGGGTACAGCAGGAGCGGGGCGGCGGTGAGGGCCTCCACGGCCCCCGAAAGGGCGCCTGTGAGGGCAAGGTACCCGGTGAGCCCGGAACCTGTGGATTGCATGAGTTGGCGGGTCGTGTTGGGTGAGTAGTCGGGAAGAACTGTACGCCATGTCGGTGGTGGCTCAGTACCCAAGCGGAGATATGCCCGTCGTACAGTCACCCATGCATCTGGGACCCCCACTCCTACCAGCTCTTCCTCCATCCAAGAAAGGACCACAATGGGCAGTGCTCACCGAGGGACAGCATGACACCAGTGGCACGGTTGGTGATGGAGGAAATGGCACCCGGGGGCATCTTGTAGTGCAGCTGCTTGTGGTCAATCTCCATGACGTCGGGGGACAGGGGGCGCTTTGCCACCAACTGTGCATGCGTGGGGGTGGGGGGGGGAACATCACAGAAAAGCATCCGGAAGTCGATTTGCAGATGGGATCGCCACACACCTCCATGCCCCTCCGAGCCCATAAAAACGCCACCCGCAGGCCCGCACGCGCTCATGGTCTCACGTCCAGATGATTCTTTGGGGTTCCGAGGAAGTCGGTGCCTGGGTGGTAGGTGGACTCGCGGCCCCAAAACTCTGGCACGCTCGCGTACTCCCTATGTGAGTTGCGTGAGGACACGCAGGGTGAGACAACCCCCCGGAAGTTCCGGCCATAGACAGCCGTGAGAGGGCGGCGACACCAAACCCGTCACACCTGGCATGCTGCATGCCTATGGCTGCGAGTCCCTGGCCCTGCTGGCGCATCTGCGCAGAGCAGAGGCCCTGCAGGCTCCTGAAGGCCTGCACGCGGGACATGGCTCAGGTCTCGTGTGGAAAATGGTGGCGATGCTTCTACGTGGCTGCGAAAATAGCTCGCGATCTCGACGGAGGTATCCTCCACAAAGATTGTCTGAGAAAATCGCGGGGTCCATTCGGTGTTAGTCACAATTCTGCCCTCACAAGAAAGAGGTTGCGGTCCACGTCACGCCAACGAGGCGGTGGCGACCCGAGCAGCAGCAGGCCCTCGGGTCCCAGCGTCGCTGCGGCCCCGCCCTTTGAGATTCTCGGACTCATGCCCAGGAGATGAGGCTGCAACCTTCAGAGCGAACATCGCCTTGTCCCCAAGGCTGCTGCTCCCCCTTTATTCGCTGGGTTGCACATAGGGAGGGACATAGGAGCCTTGAAACACATTTACAAGCCAGTCGCATAAGAGTGAGTAGATTCTGGCCTCACCCTAGGTGTCAGCATTGGTGAGCATAACGCGCATGCCCGCTCGCCTCGTATGCAACCTCGTTCGTCCTGCCGCGCAGTGCCGCCGAAGAAGAAGGAGGAGCCAAAGGAGAAGCCCATTCTGGGTCGCTTCCGCACCAACTTGAAGGCAAGTGGTATATTACGATCCATGATGATGCACCTCGATGCCTGTAGCCTGCATTCTGCGATCTCTCAGTTTGCATGCCTTAGATCGGGCGCTTCTGTCCGCCTGCATGGCATAGGTCGGAATCGTGGGCCTCCCCAATGTGGGCAAGAGCACCCTGTTCAACACCCTCACCAAGATGGGCATCCCGGCCGAGAACTTCCCCTTCTGCACCATCGACCCCAACTCGGTGAGGAGCTGGATCAGTGCAGCAGGGGATGAGGCCATGCCCGTGTCCCGCTGCCAAGCATGCATGTCCGCTGGCCTCCAGCGGAGAGCGCACCAGTCATCGAACGGCCAGCCCTGGGTACCGGCGGCGCCAGGTTTTGCAAGGCCAAGCCCAGCAATGCATCTTGTGTCCAAAAATACCCTCGTACCTTCCCTCCACAGGCCCGTGTGAACATTCCGGATGAGCGCTTCACCTGGCTGGTGGACCTGTACAAGCCCAAGGCCACCTTCCCCGCTTTCCTGGAGATCGTGGACATCGCGGGGCTGGTCAAGGGAGCGGCGCAGGGCGAGGGCCTGGGCAACGCTTTCCTGTCGCACATCATGGTGAGGGAGGATGTGGGTTTCCTCCGCTTCAGTGACGGCGACGGCGGCTGGGGGGAAAGCAGGGCGGGACCAGGGGGGCCATGCAGTGGCATGTGTGCCGACATCAGCCCTCCCCTCCCAACGCGTGGTTGGATCAGCCTGTCCTGGGCTCTGGCTCAAAAATCCCCCCACGGCACCCTCCCAGGCCGTCGACGGCATCTTCCATGTGTGCCGCGCCTTTGATGACGCGGACGTTGTGCATGTGGAAGACCGCGTGGACCCCGTGGAGGGTGAGCGGGCATGGCAATTGGTGTGGGATCCCAAGTATGCATGCCTGCCAGGTCATGCAGCAGCAGCCGGCGCCTTGGACTCCGCCGGGTGCGGATGGGTTTCGCGATGCCGTAGCCACCTTTCTCCCACTCCCGCAGACCTTGAGATCGTGCACAGCGAGCTGCGTGCCAAGGACATTGAGCGTATCCAGGGCGTGATCGAGTCCCTGAAGAAGCTTATCCCAAGGTGAGGGCTAGAGGAGCTCTGATCATGTACGAGGGTTGCTTGTTTGGCGAGGAGATTCGGGGTCCCTTTGCGAAGGCTGGGTGCCTGCTGCAGGTTAGGGTCCCCGACCGGGCCCAAATGAGTGTGCGGGTCAGGAGCGTGGCCTGGGAGTAGGGCCAGGAGCCTGAGCTTGCAAGAGAAGATGCATTGCCCATGCTCCGACGGACAGCCCGGCTCTTGGCGGGTGATCAAGACTGCAGCACTGCCCTCTCTCATCATACCCCATACCAATTTCATCCCCTTTCCAGGGGCCTGACCAAGGAGCAGAAGGAGGAGATGGCGGCCGCCGAGAAGGTGCTGGCCTGGGTGCAGGAGGGCAAGGACATCCGCAGCGGCGACTGGACGGCAATCGAGGTGGAGTTCCTGAACAACCACCAGTTCATCTCGGCCAAGCCCGTGATCTACCTAGTGAACCTGTCGGAGAAGGACTACATCCGCAAGAAGAACAAGTGGCTGCCCAAGCTGTTTGAGTGGATCCAGGCGCACGGCGGTGCGCAGCTCATCCCCTTCTCTGGCGCCCTGGAGGCCAAGCTGTTCGACATGCCCGATGACGAGAAGGAGGCCTACTGCAAGGAGGTGCGTCGATTGGGAAGAGGAGGGGAGATTGCGAGCGAAGGTGACTCACCATGCATCGGAGATACGTGTGGGTTTGTGCAAAGGGGACCCATACGTGGTGCCCCAGCTGCACGACCCTCGGCAGCACCGCCCCCTGATGCAACCCCGGCTCCTGCCTTCCTGCCTTCCCTTGCCTCATCCCCCCCCCCCCCCCCCCCCCCCGCCCCCGCCCCCCCCCCGCCGCTGCAGCAGCCGCGGGTCCCACTGCACCAGCGGCGGCCCCGGAGCAGACTTTGCTGCTCAGCAATGCGCTTCCGGTGAGCGGGGTGCGGCAGGCAGAGGATCGGG